TCACCACGTATCTCCTTGAAATCCATCTTAATATTATCCTCCCACCTCCTTCTTAATCTTTTATGTAGGCACTGCCAAGGTTTCTCCACCGTTCTTCATATTCCTCATTTCAATTACTTGCCCCCCCCCCCGGAAACCTACCAATTTACGTAGAGTCACTTTTCTTGTTTCAGTTATCTGCCAAATTTTCGCACTAGACGACGGGTCTACCAGAATCTACGTGTAGCAGATTTTGCAGAAATGGCTATTCTACTAAATGATGTGCATAATTTATATTTTTATAGAATCAAGGCCGATTACAGCGGCCGCGTGCTCTGACGCATGAAATGTCTGCGCCCGCTCAAACACTGAGATCATGGGTTCGAATCCCACTCGAGGCATGGATGTGTGTGTGTTTATTCTGTGTTTGTGTTTCCTGTGTAGGTAGCGGGCTTGCGACGGGCTGATCTCCCGTCCAAGGAATCCTACCGACTGCCTATAAGATCCATAGTAAAATATTAATTCTGGCGGGAACAGACCCGATGACCTAATACGAAAGGTAGAAGAACAAGAAGATGTGGAGGGAACATTCAGGACCGTAACGATCCGTAAGGCTTAATACGTCGAAGGAAGAAGACGAAAAAGAATTACTTTTGTTAATAACATTTTAAAAATTTCCGAAAATATAATTCCGTCATTACAGCAGTGCATTCAAGAAAAAGTCAATAGGGTTTATAGGAAAAGTATCATTCTTCCTTAATGAGAATCAAATATATAAAATTATAATAAACTCAATTACATTCAAATTTCAACCTATACCAGTACACAAACAGAGTGTCCGGAGGAAAGGAATTCAAAATAAAATAATTATATCTCAGAAAGCTTTATACACATTTATGGGTTACACCACTACAAAAGGAAAACTATCAAAGTTTTTTTCTGAGTATATAACTTTCTCAATAAATTTCAACGTGGGCTCCCTTGGTGGCAGGACAAATATCCAGACGATCCAGCATGTTTGGTGTTACCGTAGCCACAGCGTCCCTTATGCGGGCTTTCGGGTGTTGCAGGTCACTGATCTTAACCTGGTAGACAACTCCACAAGAAAAAATTCAGTGGGGTTAAATGTGGCGACCTAGGAGGCCAAGCGATTGGTCCACTTCTGCCGAGCTATCTACCAGCCATCTCTCCGTTCAAGTGATTCCCAACATGGTGGCAGAAATGTGAAGGCGCATGCGCGTAAGGCGGGCATGAAAAAAATACAGGATTTTCCTTTCCGATGATATAAACCGGATACGTGTATGACAATTACTTTCCGACATATAATTTTCTTTGGATACCTTTCATCCGGACACCCTATATGATACGACCTTGGTACTCTAATTCACATTACGAGAGAATATTCCACCCAGTAGGCAAATTTGGTCATATTTATGAATGCTACGTACATTTACTCTTTTTATAGAGACCCGAGTAATTCTGTGTACTTTAAAATCTTCTTCTTTAAATGGGGAGAAAGTACGCCTGGTGGGACTCGAACCCACAATCCCTGGTTTAGGAGACCGATGCCTTATCCATTAGGCCACAAGGGCTCATACGTTTACGTACATACGTAATTCTTACAAATTGCAAAACTGCCCACTGAATCAAATTCATTTCCAAAAGTAGCTTCGATTCAATAGTACAAAATTATGCGATACACTAAAGCCGAAATTTTATAAAACCTGTATTTCTTTGTATTGCCGGTCAGGGTAGTCGAGCGGTCTAAGGCATGCAGTGTCTTCGTTCGCTCGCTCGGAAGCCGGGATCGTGGGTTCGAATCCCACTCAGGGCATGGATGTTTGTGTGCGTTTTTCTGTGTTTGTGTACAATTAGATGCCTTGCGACGAGCTGATCACCCGCCCAAGGAGTCCTACCGTATTTGTAAGATCTAGAAAAACCGAAGTGAACGGAGAGTTTCATGGAGGCAGGCCTAGGCCCAAATTGGGGCTGTAGCGCCACAGAGAAAAAAAAATTCTTTGTATTATTTGTAGTGTAATAACATTTTTATGCAGCTGAATGATCTAACTCTAAGAAACCTGTGTTTAGAATGCGCGAGGCAAAATTATCTGCAGAAATTAAAATCTGAGGATTACCAATTATCTCGCTATCTCTTTATCTCCCACTTACTTGATAAATTTCGAGTAAAATGAAATAAGTACAGGTTGATTTTAAATCCTTGATGAATGACCCGTACTTTCTAATTCAATCGGAAAGCTAATAAATTTAAAACTAATATTCACCGATAAAAACACAACTTGGTATTTGTCACATGATTACTAATTCGTAATTTCTATCGCCTGGATACAACCATAATCTACTTGCTTTAATCTTAGAGTGATTAACTTCTTTAACTGCTTGAGTAACACATATGTACACGTATGTATANTATCTACACGGCACCACATCCCAAAAGACAGCATTCTTCATAGTCACCATCGTGAAAACCTCAAATCTTACATATTTTTATATCGAGTATCTACTTTCCTACTTCCCCAGCCGATTAAATGGACGAAGCGTGAAGCTGACCACCCATCTCCATCGGTGCAGAGATTGAGAGTGAGAAGATCTGTCTCCACTGATCCACAGACTTGTGTCTCCAGGGTTCATGCTCGTTATCAGAGAGTACGTACACGGTGAAGTGCTCCCAGTGCTTGAGTACGCACCATGTCATGTCGTGGAGGAGCGGAAATATCTAACCCATGCGTTCTTAACCCAGACACTATCTAGCTACATGTGAGCCCCAGCCACTTTATCCTTGCGAATTAGACCCATTTGTATGGTATAGGAGGGTGGATGTGGTGGACGCTGTGGAGCGGAAAAAACATCACTTTCCCTGCCGGGAATTGAACCCACACCAGCCCATAGCCTAGCTGTTATACTAAGCTGTCCTGACTTCTAGTATAGAATACGTAGCAAACATTATTCGTGTCAGGGTGATGATGACAAGGCGGTTAAGAGAGGCGAGCCATGTAATAGGGACGATAAAGCTATGAGATTCATACAAAATTTTGACCAGAAAATTCAATGGGCAAACTACTTAGAGGACGTAGTGCTAAATGGTAGGATAATATTAAAATGTACATATATTCGTGTAACAGAATTGAGGATTTATCTGGTTCAAAACATAGATTGGCATTTAACTGCTGTGAACACGGAAAGAAACTTCAGTTTCAAAAAGATAAGGGATTCTTTGACCAGCTGAGAGACTAATAGCTAGTTAGGTACAGAAGTGAATGAGGCATTGCAGCAAGCACGCGAGTCTTAATAACAAAAATTCATAAATATGAAAAGGCGCATTTATATTCCTTTTAGACGATGCAACAACATTTCCATGGCTGGAATCGGCAATACTACTATAAACCTTCGATAACGACAATCGATATTCTGACCAAGAGTCGAAATGGAGACCTCCCTATGACCAATCATATGTGTAAATCACTGTCCCAGTGCCTTGAGTGTGATATGTAGAGAACTCCTGTGGTGGGGAGGGCACATAACCTTGTAATATCTGGAGCGAGGGGGGAAACCTTGGCCTTTCGAAAACAAGGCAGACATGATGGGAGTGAATCACCAGTTCCGTAATCTCAGAGCAGCAGCAATAGCAATGTCGGGTTCGGATACACCACATGGCAATGACTTCTAGTGAAGTGGTACGTCTGCTGTCGAGCCAAGGGAGCAGCCACCCGCTGTGGGCTGTCTTCCAGGGCTCACGCGCGGTCAGTATCGCTTCGAGCATCATTTACTTGGTGAAATTTGCCAAAGGCAACGACGTCCTTGTTGAGAAGCTGATAATAGTTCAGCTACTCTAGGAATTTCCCAACTTTCATGAAACCAGAAAGTCTTCGACTGTATTCATCTAAGCCCGCGAATTGTTCATACCCTGAGCTAAATAATGATTTCATTCTAATTTTCGATTATTCTTCCACATATTCCCATGTCTCCTGAATAGTTTTTCTTCGAGTTTTCCGACTAAAATTTGGATGCATTTTTCACCACGCCAGGCGTGCCACATGCCCTTCTCATTTCATCCTCTCTGATTTCACCGCCCTATGAATAATTGAAGAGCAAAATTTTAACTCATCGTTGTGTCATTCTTTCTACACTTCTGTTACTTCCTCTGCCTTAGTTCCTGTATTATCCCATCATCATGTTTTTCAAACATCGTTAATCTATGTTCTGCCCTCACGCAGAGAAAAGAAGTTTCACTCTCATGCAGAAAAATACGTATATTCGAAGATATTTTCTTCTGTGATATGATGCCACGTAGTCTGGTATAAGTTCAACGACGTTTCGAAGTAACCTCCATCTTCAACGTTGAAGCATAAGATAAATAGCCAAAAAATATAGTAGACAGCTTGCTGGGGTAGATCCTATTTAAATATCCCGCTTGGATAACTCGAAAGATAACAATATTTTTTTAAGAAGGCGCTTTCTGGAGTTTGCAACACGCGCATCTGCTCCATTACATGGACAGAAATAGATAAAAAAGACTCGAGTCGATTTTGAAATAAGGGACAAAGTTCAAGTATTTAACGAAATTTCTTCAAAATAATGTATAAAAATTCAGTTCGCACCTCACAGGAAACAGATAACGTCTACGCTATAAAGATCAGCGAACTAATGTTATTTAGGGAAGTGACCGCGGTTTATTGTGAAAACCATATGGAACGTAAAAATACATTCTGTGGGAAAATGCTGAGATTTAGTATGTCACAATACGCGGTACACGTATAGCCACTGGGATCTAAAGTGTCAATTAAGTACTGGATGGGAAAGGCGTATGGGGGAATGTAGATAAATTTCCAGACGTTCTGGACTTCTACACAAGATGGTGAGTGATCCATGAAGAACTCCTCTTTTAAAACATCTCAGGTCTAATGTATAAGACGAGAGATTCGGCTTAGCCCTTATATTGCGAAAACAGAATCTACTTACAAACCTCAGCTCAAACATGTCATACACGTTGTCTATGTTCCCAGGCGGCGACGGCCAGCAGCAGTCCTTAGAAAGTGGGTCAGGAGGTGTACAGACCCTGTTCTCTTCGCTGCCAGCACCTGCAGCAGGACTCGGTTTCACTACGTATTGCAGTAGACTATGGGGGGCTCCGCTCCTGCCCATGATACACCGTTACCCCCCTCTGTTCCCGGGACCACCAGAGGGCACCAACACCAGCAAAGATCGCGGTAAGTTGCATTCAGTTCTGCTGCCTTTACAGGTAGACCTAAAAGTAAAAACATACATTGAATCATTGGAAGTAAATCCAGCACATCGCTAGATAGTAAAGTACTTCTTTACAAGACAATCATAAAGCCTATTTGGACCTATGGAATCGAACTATGGGGATGCACCAGTAAAGCGAACATAGCCATAATGCAACGAAGAC